TCTGCAGTTTTGGGGTGTCATTCTCTGTAGATATATTTTAAATCCATTTGATCTAGTGCTTCATTTAGAGTCTGTGTTTCCTTGTTTTTTTGTTTGTTTGTTTGTTTGTTTGTTTTTGTCTAGAAGATCTATCCAGTGATGTCAGCTGGGTATTGAAGTCCCCTGGTATGATTGTATTGCTGTCGATTTCTCCTTTGAAGTCCTCCAAAAGATTTTTAATATATGTTGGGGCTCCTATATTGTGTTCATATATGTTTACCAAGGTTACATCTTCCAGTTGGATAGATCCCTTCAATATTATGTAGTGGCCTTCTTTGTCTCTAGTTATGACCTTCATTTTGAAATGTACTTTATCAAATATGAGTACTACTACCCCAGCTTTATTTTCATTTCTGTTAGCTTAAAGAATGTTTTTCCATCCCTTCACTTTCAACCTATGTGAGTCTTTTGTTGTGAGGTGGGTTTCTTGTAAACAACATATATGTGAGTCATGCTTTCTTATCCAATCAGCTACTTTGCATCTTTTTATTGGAGCTTTCAAACCATTCACATTTAAGGTGATAATTAATATGTACTTACTTATTGGCATTTTTGTTTAGTGTGGTTATTTTTTCTTCCTATTTCTTCTACTAATTACAGCAGTCGTTTTAGCATATCTTGCAGTGCTGGTTTGGTGTTAATATATTCCCTTAGCCTTTTTTTTGTCTGGAAAGCTCTTTATTTGTCCTTCTATTTTGTATGATAGCCTTGCTCAGTAAAGTAGTCTTGGATTCAGATCCTCATTTTTCATAACCTTGATCACTTCATGCCATTCCCTTCTGGCCTGTAGTGTTTCTGTTGAGAAGTCATCTGAGAGCCTGATGGGGTTTCATTTTTAGGTAACCTGTTGCTTATCTCTTGCTGCCTTTAGGTTTCTCTGTCTTTAATTTTTGGCATTTTAATTACTATGGGTCTTGATGTGGGCCTGTTTGGGTTCTTCTTACTTTGGGCTCTCTGTGCTTCTTGAACTTGAATGCCTTCTTCCTTTACCAAGTTAAAATTGTTTTCTGTCACCATTTCTTGAAATATATTCTCTAACCCTTGGCCATTTTCTTGCTTTTCGGGGACTCCTATGATGCAAATATTATTACATTTGCAATTGTCCAACAGTTCTCTTAAGCTATCTTTCTGTTTTTTAATTGTTTTTTTCTTTTTGGTTTTCTGATTGGTTGATTTTTTCTACCCTGTCTTCTAATTCACTGATCCAGTTTTCAGCTTCCTCTACTTTGCTGGTTATTCCTTCCAATGTGTTCTTAATTTCTGCTATGTCATTCTTCCTCTCCACTCGGTTGGTTTTCAATGTATCTATATCTTTACTTATGGTGCTGATGTCCTTATTCATGCTATTGAGCTTCCTCAAGATTATGGCTCTGAACTCTACCTCTGATATTTTGCTTAGCTGCATTTCATTGATCTCATCTTCAGTCGAGTTCCCTTGTTCTTTCATTTGGGGTTTGTTTCTTTATTTCACCATTTTGCCTATCTCAGTGGGTTATATAGCCTGCCAAATTTCCCCTGTAGGTGTTTGTGTTCTGCTGTTTGTGGCTCCCTGTATTGGGTTTGAATGAACCTGGGTGGCTCATGTTAAACACCACTGTCAAGTCTTACTTTCCTGGGTAGATTTGCAAGCCCAGAGAAGTTTCAGTTATCCTCTAGCTTTTTCCTGGTGGCTAGAAGTCTCAGTTACTCAGTGCCTTGAAGTGTAGCTCTGATGTTCTGCATAAGAGGATTTCCAGAGGGTGGGAGAGATGCTGGCTGTTAATGAGCCTCAATTTGCATTTCTTTGCCTCACCTGGAAAGGCTGAATCTCCAAGGTGGTAGAGGGATGCTGCTTTTCTTCACAGCCTCGGGAAGAAACATACTGGCCACCATCCTTTCTGTCCGCAACTCAGCAAAAACTCTGAGTGCCCTCCAAATCCCAGGTGCCCCCATAGAATTCCTGCCCAGTCTGCCCTCCCTCTGCCGTAGCCCCCAGTTTAGTGGCTATGGCTATTTTAGCACTCTGTCCCAGCTCTCTGAGCTCCAGAGCGGCTTGGTCTTTATCCCCCAAGGACACTGCTCACGTCTAAGACTGCTGCTATTTGTGGGCTCCCAGCCCGCCACCCTCTTGAGCCTCCGCAGATCCTACCAGTGTCCCTGGTTATATGGCCCTGTCCTGCTGCTTTTCTGTTGCTTTTTTCTGAGGATTTGTCTCAATTTTAGTTGTAATTCTCGTTTGGTCCTGGGAGATCATCTGCATAGCTTCTATTCACTCCGCCTCCATTTTCACCCCTTCAGAAGTTTTTAAATGTATTTTGGTGCTCCTATATTGGGTTATGTATGTTTACCAATATTGTATCCTCCTGTTCGATAGGTCTTTTCAATATTATCTAGTGGCCTTCTTTGTCTCTGGTTGTGACTTTCATTTTGATGTCTATTTTATTAGATATGAGTATTGCTACCCCATTTTTCCTTTCCATTTGCTTGGTAAAATGTTTTCCATCCCTTCACTTTTAATCTCTGTGTGTCTTTTGTTGTGAGGTGGGTCTATTGTAAACAACATGTATATGAGTCTTGTTTCTTATCCATTTTAGCTACTTTGTGTCTTTTTATGGGAGCATTTAAACCATTTTTATTTATGGTTATTATAAATATGTACTTACTTACTACCATTTTTGTTTATTATGGTTATGTTTCTCTTTCTATTTCTTCTGCTTGTTACTGCAGTCCTTTTAACATTTCTTGGCATGTTGGTTTGGTGCCAACATATTCCCTTAGCCTTTTCTTTTTTGTTTGGAAAGTTCTTTATTTTATCTTCTATTTTGAATGATAGCCTTGCTGGATAGAGTAGTCTTGGATTCAGAACCTTGGTTTCATTACCTCGATTACTTCATACCATTCCCTTCTGGTCTGTAGTGTTTCTGTTGAGAAGTGAGCTGTTAACCTTATGGGGGTTCCTTCATAGGTAACTTGTTGTTTATCTCTTGCTGCCTTTGGGGTTCCCTCTTTGTCTTTAATTTTTGGCATTTTAATTACTACGTGTGTTGGTATTGGTCTGTTTGGGTTCTTCTTACTTGGGGCTCTCTGTGCTTCTTGAACTTGAATGCCTTTTTTCTTCATCAAGTTAGGGAAGTTTTCCGTCACCATTTCTTCAAATATATGCTCTGATCCTTGCTCATTTTCTTCTTCTAGAACTCCTATGTGCAGATGTTGTTACATTTCATATTGTTCAACAGTTCCCTTAGGCTGTCTTCCTTGTTTTAATTTTATTTTATTTTTTGGGTGGGGGGTTCTCTGGGCAATTTTTTCTACCCTGTCTTCTAATTCACTGATTTAATCCTTAGCCTTCTCTACTCTGCTAGTTATTCCTTCCAATGTGTTCTTTATTTCTATGTCATTCTTCATTTCCAATTGTCAGTTTTCAATGCTTCTATATGTTTACTCATGCTGTGGCACTTCCTCATGATTATTAATGTGAACTCTCCCTCTGATATCTTGCTCAATTCCCTTGCATTTATTTAATCTTCTGTTGAATTATCTTGTTCTTTCATTTGGCATTTGTATCTTTCTTTCACCATTTTGGCTGTCTCAGTGGGTTTTGGAGCATGCCAAATTTTTCCTGTCAGTGTTGATTTTCCATCAGTTGTGGCTCCTTTTACTGGTTTGGATTAGTGTGGGAGGACCCATGTTAAACGCTACCGTCAAGTCTTATTTTCCTGTGTAGATTTGTGTGTGTGTGTGATTTAGTTTCCAAGATTTGTAATTTGGTATACCTTTATCGTTAATACTACTAGCAATTTTCATGAGAGCAATGGAACGATCCACAACCGTTTCATTTATTTAGGGCCTAGAATTTCTCCAAAGTTTAGAGCAATCCTTAATACTAGACATCAAAAACATAATTTTACAGTATTTAAGGATAGCTTTTTGAATATTACCACTAAAACCCTGGGAGATGATTACATCAAGATCACTTGAAACTTTAATTCATTCAAGTTAGAAAAATCTCATGAGGTACTTAAAGTCACTATTCCCAACTTGTTACTTGATTCAGTTGAATATATTAGATCATGCTAATAATTAAAAACCTGAAATTCAGACAATAAAGAGATTTGATTTATCATTTTCTTAAGGAAAAAAACCGTTAAGCATCTCCTATGGGGACTTCTGGACTCTATACTGAACAGTATAGTAAGAGAGGGAAGGGAAAAGATATATGAACAGCTCCAGATCTCAAAAAATAAAGTCTCAGCACCAAAATTACTAGTGTATGTTGTCAAAATGAGTTGCATTCTACACTCTTGGTTAGACCCATAATTTCAACAAGATCATTATGAGGCTCAAATAAGCAAAAATAAAGTGGTTTCAATTGATATTGTTTGTGTTGCAATTGTAATTATATAGAAACAGTGGCTTCACAAAAGATGCTCTCCAATATGGCATAGTATCATTTGGATTAGGGAGGAAAATTACACTTTAGATGTCTTTTTAGAATTTTATATCAGAAGTTCCAAATATTAAGAAAAAATTCCTTTTTAAATTTCCCAATGTAAAACAAATCATTAAAAGAAATACAAACATAAGAGCGAAGACAAATTCAAGGAAGGAAATTTTTCATTCATTTGGATTGCCTGTCAACTCATGAGACATTACTAACCAATCAGATAACATGCATAAGATAGAAGTAGGATAAATGAAATTCAGCCCAATCAGATTTGGCAGTTTTAATAGTACCAGAATAGTATATTACATCATATGAGTTTGTTATGTTTATTTGTAAATCTTATCCACATGTGTAAGGTTAGTTTATTTTGTACATGTTTACCAAATTTAAACTGTCACATTATTCCCTTAGTACTTGAAACATAGCAATCACTATTTTTAAAGAGTTTACAGCCTTTCCCATAGTGTTATGTATATAACAGGCAGTCAATGTAGCTATAATGGTCATAAGGAAAATGGGGAAGAGGGGAGAAGCTTACCATTAGATCCTCACAACACGCTGTTGAACTGTTCTTTTCCATCAATCCTAGGAACATATCCTCAGTTCCCACTTGCTGTTTGTATATGATTTCATACCTGAAAAAAGTCATTGATGTAGAGACTCAAATGAAAGAGACATATCCTGTCATAGAGCAGAAAACTAGACACATATAAGAACATGCCATTACAACAAATAATAATAATATAAAAAGACGAAATAAATAAAATATTTGCAGTTTTTCAGCCATATAGCAAAACATAAAGAAATAGGAATAGGAGTCTAGAAATTCAGTAAAAAATGCCTAACACTGTAAAGCAGGATTTATATCATATATATTTCTTTTCTAAAATGAAGCTTAAATGTTTTAGAGCTATACAAATAAAATGGATTGAGGAAACTTCTAATAAGAGTCTAATAAGATTCAATGTAGAAGAAAAAGGGAAGGTACTTTCCAGGAAAACAATGGCTTAGAAAAAGAGCGGGCCTATAACATAGGGTTTGATGGATAGAAACTCTCCTCTGCTAAATTTAAACCACAAAGTAGAATCCAGGTTTAGTACCATTTCTGTCATTAACTGTGTGACCTTGCTCAAGTGACAAAGTTGTGGAGTCTTGGCTTCTACATTTTTACAATTTATGGAAAGGTATGTGTTTGAATTAAATGATCTCTTTTTTCCATTTCTAAAATTATGCAATAGAAATACTGGAGTATGTAGTCAGCATAGCTTCACTATGTTTAGAATAAGTCTTACAGAATTCTCAATTCAGTGAAAGATTTCACCTCACTCATGACAATTCACAAATCTTTCTTTGGCCCCAAACTTGGGCCCTTAGAGACAGGATGTTTTATAGAAGCACCCAGCCATAATGTACCCTATCATTTTAGATGGAATTAAGTACCAAACATTTACAAATGATTTTTTTTTTGTAATTAATTCTATTCTGATGAAGAAATGGTAAATCTCTGGACATGAAGACTAAATGACTATATTGAACTTTGACCACTGGCAAATAAGAATGCCCAGGAATAAAAAAAGAGATTTTTCTAAGTTGAGACAAGACTAACAATAAGTAGCCATTTAATATGGGGCATTTATTTCTTAATAGACTATAACATATATCAGGTATTTACAAAGATGAAGCCAGATTAAAACAAAATAGAAAGGTACTGAACCATAAGCCTGTGATTCCCAAATAGATTTGCTCTAGCTGCTGCTCTTCTCATCTTCAGAAGCAGTTCTCCAACTGCCTACTATATGCATTTGCCTGGAGGTCCCAAAGGCACCTCACTGTCCACACATCTAAAACCAAACTCATCACTTTCCCTCCACCTACATTCCCAGTTACAGTTAACGGCCTTACTATTGACCCACTCACCCAAGCTAGTAACTTCCAGATCATTTTTTACACTTTCCTCTCATTCATTATATCTAATCAAGTATCAAATCTGCCATCAAAAATCTCTCAAAAAAAGACTAATGCTTTTCCCTGAGTCCAGTGACTTAGATCCGGCCCTTATTATTTTTTGTTTGGTTGCTAGTTATTCTTTTTTGCTAACTGTCTGTCCACATTCTTTACTCATTTTCCTCTTCACCCATTGGGACATTTGAAATATGATTGCATAAGACAGAAAACATAGATTTTTTAAAAATCTTAAAAAGCCATTTTCTTCATATTCTGAATGAATTACTTATACCTGTAAGGCTTTCATGGATGTTCTTTCTACATAATATCAAACAACAGAAAAAGTGAGAGTTTATTCAAATTTGGAGCTTATCACATAGAGATATTTGACATTTATTAGACAATATGACAAATGAGTGACTTAATTCTTATCTTTCATGTGGATGTGTGTATTCTGTATAAACATGACATGAAATTTACTTTCTTCATTATTAAGATGTAGACTGAAGTGTTTTCTATGAGGTCTATAATTTTTTACATTGTTTATTTTAAAGCTGGATATTTCTTTGCAGTTAATTATCTAAGTCTCCTACTGATTCTATTTTTCGAACTGACTTAGAAGATAGAAGGATAGGGTGTTTGAATCATTGGACACAGTTTTATAGTCATAGTCAATGTGGAACATTGAGTAATTAAAAGCATATCTTTCACATATAAACATGGTATAATAATTTAGTTTGTATGAATGTTTATAATTGAATAGGCTATTTTCTTCCTGTTAGTTCCACATTATACAAGAAACTGACATTAAATGTAAATTTATAATGTAAAAAACTGTGTTTTTTATTTTTTGTTAGATAATAAATAAAAGGAAAGTCTTATGTTTTATTGTTTGTTTCTGCGTTAGAAGGAAAAAATAATTACACGTGCCTTCTGTGTGTCACTGTAGTTTTATCTTTTATGTGGTAGAAGTCACTTTTATGAATCTTGTCAAAAATAGAATGGTATCAGATGACACATCTTGTTTAAACCCTTAAAAATATTCCAGGCATCATTTGACTTACTCTGGTATTTCTCTAGCATCCCACTTGTCAGTGTGCTCTGATCCTTCTGGAACTTCTTCTGAATTCCAAATGGTCTCACTAGTTTCATCACTGGTTTGAGTGATGACTGTAAAGAAAGAGAAGATAAAGCTGAACTGTTGCCAATTTTCCCCTGAAAAATCACACCTGTTCTTAACACTCAGTTTGAGATCATTGGAGTAAAACGTTTTCTATTTGTGATCTCTAGATTGATTTTGGGTTTTAAAAAACCCTAAATCAATAACAACTGATTAAATAGTTTAATAAGCTTGGCAGGTGTGGCTAAGTGGTTGAGCATCGACCCATACACCCAGAGGTGGCTGGTTCGATTCCTGGTCAGGGCATATGCCTAGGTTGTGGGCCAGATCCCCAGTGAGGGGCATGCAGGAAGCAGTCATTGATGTTCTCCCTCATTGATGCGTCTCTCTTTCTCCCTCTCCCTTCCTCTCTTTCTAAAAGCAATAAAGAAAAAGAATTTTAAAAATAGTTTAATAAATACACAACCAATATATTGTAGAATTGTAATAATAATTGTAAAAATTTGAAAAAGACATTTAAGCAAATAGAATAAAATAAAATAATCTACAATCTAACTGCCCAGAGATAATGAATGATATCATTCAGATATATAGCTTCCTATCTCTCTCTCTCTCTCTCTCTCCCCTCCCTCCCTCCGCCCCTTCCTCCTTCTCTCTCTCTCCTTCTTTCTTTCTCTTTCATATATATGAATACATACACACATCTAATAACATAATATATATGTAATATATAAAATAACATTGTATATATAATATAATATATATGCAACACACATTTTTCCCAAAACATAAATACAATCATGTGTAAAATATTTTTATATAAAAGAACAAATTAAACAATCACTTTGATTTAGGTAGTAATGTCTTATCTTGCATTGCATTTTACTATATAAAAGCTCTTTGATACATTTTTCTCTTTTTAAATATGTTTTTATTAACTTTTTAGAGATACAGGAAGAGAGCGAGATAGAAACATTTAAGTGAGAGAGATATATCGATTGACTGCCTCCCGCACACCCCTACTAGGGATTGAGCCTGCAGTCCGGACATGTGCCCTGACCGGGAATTGAACTGGGATCTCCCAGTCAATGGGATGATGGTCAATCCACTGAGCAACACCAGTTGGGCTCTTTGATACATTTTTCATTTAATTATAAAATAATTCTTAAAATATACTATCAATTAAAAATAACCTAAAATGCTTATTTTTTAATCCAGTATTTTCTTCATGTACATATGGGATTTAAAGAAACTCTCTATCAATTATGTAGAACTGAGCATGTGCCTAGGTTTCTACATGTCTTTAAATGTTTAAATGTAAATAGCCATGTGAAACCCAGCTTACATTTGTTCCAACTATTAGGTCAGCAAATTGAGTCAGATTAGATGTGCAACATTATCTGGAGTCCTTTTAAGCATCTTTAGCAAATGCACCTGATTGTCAGGTTTTTAATTTTTTGAAATTATCTGCTTCTGTCTAGTATGGGCTTTGTAAAGCCTAATTACAGAGTTATAACATAACACTTTACATATGACTAATTATTCTCAGAATTGAGAGATTATTAGATCTATATTATTAAAAATACAGACAGCACAGAAGTATATCCAAACTTAAACTAGTCTTCCATGTAGTGAATGTCTCTTGAATGAGGAAAATGAACTCTTGAGTATTTGAGCAATAATAACTGAAATTTTAAAATCATCCCCTCAGACCTCATTTTTATCCATTATTTAATTTTTTTCATACAAAAACTTTTACAATTAGATAAATTGATTAGAGAACTTTACTTCCTTTCCTTGCCCAACTTCTGGTAACTGTGATTATGACCAACAGAATTAGAGCCTTCTATAGTTTTTAAGAATATATATTAAAAAGCCTGAAACACCAATCAGAAAGAATACATGCACCCCTATGTTCAGGGGCACATGCCCAGGTTGCTGGCTGGATCCCCAGTACGGGGCATGCAGGGGGCAGCCAATCGATGCTTCTCTCTCATTGATGTTTCTAGCTCTTTCTTCCTTCCTCTCTAAAAAAATCAATAAAAACATATATTTCAAAAAGCTACGATACATATTTACACAATGGAATACTATGCAGTTGAAAGAAAGAAAGATCCCTTACACTTTGAGCTTACCCTTTGAGACAACATAGAGGGAACTGGAGAGTGTTGTGTTAAGAGAAACAAGCCAGTCAGAGAAAGACAAGTACCACATGATCTCACTTATTTGAGAAATATAATGAACACAATAAGCTGACGAACACAATAGATCCAGGGACATGGAAGTAGGGAACAGACTGACAAACCTCCGAGGGATGGAGGGTGGGAAGGGTAAGAAGAGACGAACCAAAGAACTTATATGCATAGATGCATAACCAATGGACACAGACAACAGTGCAATGAAGGCAGGGGTGGGGTGGGGTTGGGGAGGGGAGCAGGGAGGAGGGAGTCAATGGGGGGCAAAGGAAGGACATTGGTGATACTTTCAAAAATAGAGATAAATTAAATCTAAAAATAAAAAACGTTTTTGTTAAAAAAGATGGAGGGTGTCAATGGAGGGAAAGAAAAAACATCTGTAACAAAATTAATTAATTAATTAATTTAAAAAGATGTATAAAATGTTCAGCTCTGTAAACAATGTATAGGCCAAATGCTGGGAATGCACCCAAATATACTTATTTCAGTTTATTGAAACTATGACTATATAAGTCACCCCATGGGCTTTAATTTGTAAGCATTTCAATATAAGATAAAATTATGTATTTTTTTTTTCCTGCAAAAGACTGTCAGCTTAATGGGGGCAGCGACCTTTTCTATTTTGATTTCTATTGTAATCTCAGAGATGATCCTGCCTGGTACATAATAGACTCTCAATAAATATATTGAATAAAATAATGAATAAATTCTGTGAAATTGCCAGAATATAGCAGGTTAGAATGTGAAGAGGCTAAGCACCTTGGTAACTAGACTCCAAGTAGTAAGTTATTTAACCCTACATGACTTTGTTGGTTTTATCTCAAGAAATATACCAAAATGTGAATAACTCAAGGTAAATTAATTTTCACTACTATAAACACAACTTACCTGCAACAGTAGAGTAAAAGCAGCATCTTTATATGTAAATGACTTCATCATTTCCACAATTATTTGAGGTCATCTTTAATAAGTGCTAATGTTAGTATTATTCTCCATATAATTTTGTTCTCAAAAAAATATTGTACTAATTATTTGGCCTATACACTTTATTAAATAACTTACCTTTATGCTCTTCTAGTTTTGGTGGTCCAATATCCCCAGGACCCATGGCTCCGATCGCAGATAAACAATTAGCCTTGGAAGAAGAAAAAAGTTCAACTTTTTGCGTTACTTGTCTAATGTATGCGACCAGTAGTGCTTTAAATTAATAAACTTTCCATCTAAAATTTAATTGAGTTTTGCAGTTTAATTACCCATAGTTGTTATACAACAGAAAGTCAGATGATGTCAAGTATTATTTTGAATGTGTTTTTCTTGTCTTTCAAAAAGTATTTGGTTTAATAGACTCTAAGGTAGAATTTATCTTTGAATAGACCAAATCCTCAGTTCCAGCTCACTGAATTATGGATTTCAGGGGACAGGGGAATAAGCCACATTCATCTCTTTGAAGGTCATAACCAAGTGTTAGTATCAGAGCATCGACATTTCTGGTTTTGGCAGTATCTGGTCAGAGTTAGGTAGGGGATAGAAGTATGGGAAAGTGTTGTTGCCATTTTATACTCACCTGAGGATGTGTTTATTTATTTTACAGAGAGAGAAAGGGAGGGAGGGAGGGTGAAAGGGGGAGAGAGAGAGAGAGAGAGAAAGAGAGAGACATCAATCAGCTGCCTCCCATGTATGCCCAAACAGTGATCGAACCCACAACCTAGGTATGTGCCCTGACCAGGAATGGAACCCACATTGATGTATGGTGTATGGGCTGATGCTCCAATCAACTGAGCCACCAGGGCTGGGAAAGTTTTATAAAAATAAAAATAAACCACTAACTGGAGTCTAAGTATTTAGACATCAAATGACTCATTCAAAAGTCCTGATTTCAGTTTTTACTTCTTTTCCACTGGGTGTATGAAACACTGCTTCACCCCACCACTTCATATTACTGAACTAGTGAATTCAAACAGCAATCCCAAATTAATAGTGTTTAATAAGTGCTGAACCACTATAGTCTTCATACAAGGTCAAGCTTATTTTGCCATATTCTGCATAAGCATACATACTCCCCAGGACTGCCTCTGATGCACCAGTAAAAGAACAGCTTTCCTTTTTCATATTAGCATAACACTTATTATGCCATAATTGTAGTGGCAACCACTTCACTGGTCCCTCTCAGGGTTTCTTTTATATTTGAAGAAAATGCCTCCCTTTTCTTTTTCTTTCTTTCTTTTTTTTTTTTTTACTAATTGTTCTTGTTGATGTCACATTCTGCATTCCAATTCACTCCACTGCTGGCAGTCAAAAAATTCTTATCTTCTTGGATCTTGGCAAACAAGCACCTCTAGCTGTTCTTTTTCAGGCCCCTATACTAGTTTCCCAAGACTTAAGACATGTATGAAAGTTCTAATGTCCTGTTCGGGCAAGAGAATTAAAGTCGTGCTTGAAAGCTGGTGGAAAAGCTCACCTGAGTCTTTTTATGCTAAACTATTCTGACAGTTATAAATCAGAAATTAATTTATAACATGTCAACAGTTTCTGAAACAGTAACTATTCCTTTCCAAAAGGTGTTTCAAAAGTGTTATATATGTGGTTAAACTGTTACAGACATTTTAATATGAAAATCCCAAGAAAATATTCTGTACACTTTTTTTTTCTTTTTAAGCACTAAGGTCATATAAACTTGTAGTGCTTTTCTTAAATTATTAATCACTGGAATACTAATAGTCAATCAGGGTAAAACATTTCTTGGAACATGAGGACCTCTTGTTTTGCTGAGTGCCTCCTTCCATGAAAAAATTAAAATCTGTAGAAATAAAAATGAACATTTCTGACAAAAATTGGTATGCTCTCCATCGAGAGTAATAATTGGATCAGTATATAAAATCATAGGGGAGTTTCAGTTTATTAACTTAATGAAAATAAATGATTAAAAATGTTCAAGTGAAAAGATGGATCAGGGTAATAAAAACATTAAAAACCACCTGGCAACTCTTTTCTATAAGACTATCATGTCAGCCTTTACTGTGAATCCATGTCAAATTATCTGAACAATTTATCATTACAATTTATGCCACTTTGCAATATGTAAGAGATTGAGGACATCCTTGTTACAATGTCTGTGAAGAGTAGTGAACAGTATTACCCGCAATTTTTAAGATCCTCTTAAGTTAAAAACAAACGAAGGAACAAACAGCAGTCATACTCTCTTCCCAATCTCCCAGATTCTTCACAACTCATGGTAGGGATAGTATAAATGAAACAATGTGTATGCAACAGTGCTAATGCTATTTTCAGAGAGTGTATTTTAAAAAAACTCATCACTCTTCTGCAACCGGTGTGGCTCAGTGTATTGAGCATCATCCCACAGACTGCGAGATCTTGGCTGGATTCCCAGTCAGGGCACATGCCTGGGTTGCAGTCTCCAGTGGGGGCTGTGGAGAGCCAGTCAATAGAAGTAGCTCTCTCACATCGATGTTTCCATCTCTCTCTCCCTTCCTCTCTCTCTAAAAAATCAATACAAACATATGAAACAACGACAACAACAAAGAAAAACACACATCACACTTGTTTGTAATCATTCTACAGTTCCCAAGATTAATACATGTGGGTGGGGGGAATATGTTTCTCTCCTGGAAAATTTAATAATTCATTAAAAACATGAATTATTCTCCTATTGCTCTGATAATCTAATTCTATATCCCTCTAATGACATTTGTACTGAGGTGTCTGAATGACCAATTATCTCAAAATTGCTTATAGCCCAGATATACAGAATAATACATTATCATAGTAATTTTCTTCTACCAATTGTACAATTTGGTAAAATGGTCCTAGGCTCTCTATTCTCAATAGGCTATCATCTTTAGCTGAGAAATACCTCTAGTTGTAAATAAACACCTTCAAACTTAAGCATCAAAGGGAACCGTCTTTGTTACCAAGATATTTCCGTTATCTCTGAATCTGTTCCAAATACAAGTTCCCCTTCCCTTTGTTCAAGAGCACTGTTTTTCAAACACTTAATATACTTCTTGTAGCTGACATAATGCCACATTTTCCAGCATATATTATTCTATTTCAGCTAAGGAAGCAAAAATGAGCTTGCCTTATCAACTTCATTGATACCTACTCCTAACTTTTTCTCCTGTATCTTATATGTTGTATATATTCAATATGTTATTAACATCTTGATTTTTCTTCATTTTGGGACTCTACTAAGACTTTTCCCTTACTCAAATTTCTTGGTTCCTGATCCTGGCTCCATTGCATGTCTTAGTTGATTCTATGGTGTTCCACCTAAGCTCTTCCCGAAAAGTGGAAGCTAAATCTAGTGTCATTCTTAGCCACTAAATTTGCTGCCTCTTTAGATTATACTTGTTTTTCCACACTATGGCAAAAAAAAGAATTTTGGGAGGAGCAAACTGATACGCATATTCATTGGAGATGGTTTGTTGATGGTAAACTAGTCACAATAATAAAAAAGCTTTATTAAAATAAGTGAAAGAAAATAGATATATTCTGCTACAGAATGAGATTTCTGCCCCAAATTATGTTTGACTTAAGTAGTCTGTTAGCCCAGCCAAGTTTTGCTGATATTTAAGGAGTAGAAGAACGAAGAATGGGGTGAGGAGAGGATTACATAAAAGTATTATGATTATACTGGGAATATTGGCAGTGACGGTGGAGTGGCCAAAGGTTAGCTCATAGAACTCTCCTATTCAAAATAAAGCCCATCATATTGCTGCAGGCTTCGCTGGGGTTACCAGTTCTGACCTCAAATGCTATTCAACTATGTAAGTACATTCCACAGCTCTACATGACCATGCACCCAGAGGCCTATTTTAGTAGGCTGCAGATAATTCTTCCCCTTATTTGGCTCAAAATATTTTCTGTTCTGCTTTCATCTATAGACAAATAAAAAAGAATAAAAGGGCTGGATTTGGGTGGCATAATTAATATTGTCTAGTTGAAATTATTTATTTCATAGAAATACTGTCTAGGCTTTAAAATCCTAGCTATCACACTTTGTAATGGTTGTCAAGCATTGTTTGGCCATAAATATAAATGACAAACACTTTGAAATGTGGCTATTGCTACCATAGTTACAGAACAATTTTTCCTATTTAGCATTCAGGTAGTTTCGAAAAAATTACAATTACATTTGCTAGAAATGTACTATAGGTTTTACTCTAATACGTAATCAGCCCTACAGCCACCTGCAAATGTATAAAATGACATATCCTTACTCCCACAGCAAGGTTGGAACAAGTTGTTCAAATACAGTTTCACAGCATATGTCAGCAAAACTAATTCATCTATAAGTATACAACCACCTGTTCGGACTCAAACGCATCCTCTTCTTCAGGATAAAGTAGCTTAGAGAGGGCTTGCAGAGTTGAAACTGAAGAAATAGTTTCAGTTTCCATATTGTCTAATTCCATGTTTTCAGTTTCTATATATTCAGGTTCCATATTTTCCAATTCCATATTCTGAGGAAGAAAATAATCATGAAGAGGTATCTTAGTTTTCTATTTTATTTAAGATATAAAGTTTTTATTATCATATATACTTTCTTTCCCTGGGTCACTCCATTATTTCCTGTTCTTCCTTGAAAATCCTTATAAAGTTCTTCAGATATATATGTATTTTACTGAATAACAGACTGAGGGTGACAAGTAAAGTCAAGTATTCAGTTTACTTCACTAAAACTTCATGCTCAATTTAACAAGCATTTATTGAACACCTACTATAGTGGTTCTCGGGTTTTAGTGTGCTTAAGAATTATCTGGGGAGTTGGTTAAAAACACAGATTATTAGGCCTACCTCCAGAGAAAGTGGATTCGGTATCATATTAAATGTATATCATTATTTAGAAACATATTTGTGTAGACTACCTTTTTATCTGTCTCATGTATGCTGTATAGGCTGTATATTTCATTTAGGGAACTAAAAAGAATGTTTCTAGCAGGGTATGACTCAAAGAACTTATTTCACACTTCTGCCTCAGGTAGGCTTGTACCTTTTGCTTTATTTAAAATTTTAATTAACCGTAAATGATACCTAGCATTATATTTCCATTTGAGAATGTAAATAGGTTGGTTCAATGACTTTAGTAAAAGTTCACACAAAATAAATTGTTTTTCTGATTATAGTAGTGATACTGTATAAGACTATTGTGGACTTTCTAGGAAATAATTAATTAAAAGTATAAATAAGTAAATTACAACTACCTATAATCCTACTAACCAGACATCAGTCTTTTAAATAATCTCTACAGTTATATTTGGAGTAGGAATTCAGGATTTTAAAAACCTTGGAAGTGTCAGACTTTAATAACTATTCTGAATAAAGACTGTAAAATTAGGCTTATTGTTAGTGATTTAGGCATAAATATAATAGAAATCTGTTCTACATTTCTGCTGATATTTTAAACATTATTTTATAAAATTAATTAACAGGAAATATTACTTTAGTGCTTTTATTAAATGACCCACTAAAATTTTTGCATTATGCTTAGAACAGGAATACAGAAGGGATTCTCAAATGTGTACTGCTGTAATCGCTTGTCAAAATCAATCTGCATGCAGATAGTGCTTTCAAACCTTCAGCCTCATTATTTTTTACCATTATTTTAATTTTATTTTTTAAATATAAAACTGATTTTAATGATTATAGAAGACCTCAAGAATATGAAACAGATGTTAAATTGCCCTGTACATCCAACATAAAGACAGTATATCAGTGGTTAAGAGTAAGGACTCTACAGTCATGCTGCCTAGATTTGTTATCTATCATTTACTTCCTAGCTCTGTGACTTTTGGCACATCATTTAAGCTCTCAAAACCTCATTTTCCTTTTCTATAAAATGAAAATAATAGTAGCGCTACCTCATAGGGTTGTTAGAAGGATGTAAAAGAGCTTGGAACAGTGCCTGGCACATATTAAGCACTTAACATATATTAGCTATTATTGGTCCTTTAAAAATTTAATTTTTCTAGGCATGAATATCACTTCTAACAATTATGTTGAATAAGTTAATGATAAAACTCATTATATAGGAAACTCATTAATTTGGAAAAGATGAAAAAAGAGGTAATAAAACTATATCCTCTCACAGTATGGTCTGGTAGTCCATTATAGAAATGAATAATTGACACAAATTAAACAAAGAGGCTCCTGTTTATATTTTAAAAGTCCTAGTTGATTAAGCGTTCATTAAATGTTTATTTAACATTAAAAGCAAAAAGTTTGAAACATTTTCTAATTTTGACAATGAAAGGGGAAAATGGATCCAAATATCAGATGCAATGATAAAATTAGCATTTTGAGTTGAGATTATACAGTGAGACTTTTAAAAACAAATACAGCAGAAATTGTTTCAACAGTTCCGCATTACCTACCTTATAAATTTTTGTGATGTCATTTTATGCAACGTATGTGAAAGAATTTGCTAAATTATGAAAACTTATGTAGAAATATTATTGTCTGGCACATAGTGCCAACACCCACAGATATTTGATGATGAGGCTTGTGAGAGTTCAATGGTGAGCTGCTGAGAGGGGAATAAACTGAAACCAGTAGAGCTAACCTAGAAGAAGGGTATTCAGAATTCCCAAATATAGTGTCTGAGATAGAAATCAGAACTGCTATTCATGCGTACTCATCTGCTAGGCAGGAACATGGCAACAGGGAGTTAGGGGATGTGAGCAGTGCTTCACAGCAGGAAGGTTGAATAGTTGAGGTTACAGGGAGGCCTACTCAGGGTGAAGTGGCTCCCTGATTCATAGGTAGGGGTATAGGAGGCAGGGTCCAGTTCTTGAGAACTGTGGGGGAGTTGGCAGCTAAATGAAGGTTTAGAATAGGGTAGGGCTCAAAGTCACAGCTGGAAAAGAAAAAATGAACCAAGCCTTGCATTAGAGGCTTTCTCATGTCACCTGGGCAACCACAGTACAGGTTACAAAGAAAGCCTATGCTTCAGTGGGTACACTGGATACTGGATTTAAGGAAAGCAGATTAATTTTAAATTCACATTCTGGAAAGGAGCTCTGGTCTGGTTCTCATTTGATGAGAGGCAGGGCAGCATGGACAGGGGAAAACTATATATCTGTAGGCTAAATGTCTTCAATAACTGGAGTTGGCATGTCGTCAGCAGTCAATGAATACTGAATTAAGCATGATTAAATTCATACAAATGTTATATTAAAAGTAGTCACCTTGGGAGGTTATATACATTGATGTAAATTATACTATCAATGCTCAAAAAATATTTTGAAATTGCCTTCATATGTATCACCAATAAAATAAGTATCATTATGGTTTCACTCAGTTTGATTACAAATCAGGTTTCTCTCTGAGTAATTTCTAGATATATCTAGATATCACATCTACTTTCAAAATATGAAGATTTGTTACTATGAGGATATTCAAAAGAATGCACTAAGTCCTCAAGGCAATTTTAAAAGAGTAGTTTCAAAATAATTTGAGCAGTAACAAGAGCATTAGAATAAGTGGATAGACTTCCAAAGTGATTGCTTTGAAGAGGATGCCACTTCTTGGGATGTATATGTTTGAATGTGTTTGTTAAACAAATCATTCACAATAATTTATAGTAACTATATATCTGAAGCATATTATGAATTGGACTTTTTAAATTCCAAGTTATACTGGCATAAAATAGTATAGATTCATATTAAGCTAAATTGGAGTGAAAATATAATTGGCAATTTAACAAAAATAATTGTATTAAATCAACTGTAATAATAATCTGTAAACACAAAACAAATCATGACAAGTTTGCTGATATTGTATTTAGAGAAACAAAAGAATCACCAATACTTTGTAAATAGCTAAATATTTCAAAGAAAAAACAATAATGTGAATTTTTGAAAAAAGTATTCCAAATTAAATGGAAATGAAGATTCTACTAGCTTTTTTTAGAAGTCTAACAAATTATGAATAATTTACTAAAATTTATTAAAGTATATTAAAGCTCATTTGACACAAACAGATAACATTGAAAAAACTAAAGCAAGATGTCTTTATATCAACTGTGCAGTATTATTTATTTATAGGGCTGTTATTGGTAAACCTGATATATATTAAGTTCATCTTGAGCCTCACAATCAAAGTCCTTCAGGATATAACCCCAACCTAATTTTATGCCCTTCCCTTCTATAATTCTCTTACATGTAATCTGCATTCATTTAAAAACTGAACTGCTTATTGAATATATCCTATACTTTTCTACCCTTGTACCTCGAAATATATTCTTCCTTTTGTCTTGGCTACTCAGGTACTATAGTATAGGGTTGAAAATATATTCTTTCAGACACAATGCTCACGTTTGAATCTGGCATTGCCACTTAAATAGGCCAAGAATAAATTTAAACCAAGAAAAATTTAAGTAGGGTTTCATTAGAAAATATATATTGCTAAATCTTTTATTTGAGATTTGATTATTTAGAAAATAAATTTTCTAGGTGCTTTATTTTTGTCTCACTCTCCTTTGCTGGGCCAATTCTAATGAAAATCAGTTCTAGACAAGCCTTTGATTTTCCTATATCCACCTGAGCCTTTACGGCCTTCATAGACAGAGATGTGTTTGGGGGACCTCTCTTGGTACTAGTCACAATAAGCTAAAGAGAAAGACGCTCCAAAACCGGTTCATTACCAAAACATAGGGACAAGATAAACTCAAACACGATAGCTCCCAATCCATGGCACTGAAGCAATATCAGTAACTTGTTTGTGAGGGCTGGGGTCTTGCTTTCTATTTTATTTGCCTCCATTCACATTGTCAAAAGGGAAGGCTGTTTGACTTGAACTAATTGGAGAGAAGTATAGGTTGAATTAGTGAAAATTAATTTTTAGACTACATAGAAAGTAATGATATTTTATTAATTTAACTATATATAGTAAATAAAATCAGAATAATAAAGGATCAGCAAATAGTGTCCTTTGGGAACTTGTTTAATAGGTAAACCTATACCCCTTCATAAAATACTATTTATAGCTGAATGATTTCAAAGTATGCAAAATCCATTTACTCTCTTAAATAAATTTAGCATTTATTTTGCACTTTATTTATATAATGCCTTATTTAGCAACACCTGTATTAAATTTATTCTGAAAACACAAAAGTAAACATCATCTATGCCTATGTCTGAATTAAATTATAATTTAATGGAAGATGATTTTGAAACTACCTGAAATTTTTCATAAACCTAAAGGTCAAGAAATGAGCCTCTTTTGATTTAATATTTCCTCTCTCTATTTATTCGTTATTTTAGCCAAACGTAACACACTTGTCAATAACTTTTTCCTGTTTCTCTGTTTTACTCTTATACTCCACCTCTATCTAAAAGGGAGTTGAGACAGAAAATTTTCCGTCGGTATTTTGAAAATTTTTCCTCAAGTCAAGAGGCCTGTTTTCTTCATTTGTTTACGAAATAGTCTCTGTCTTGAATCCTTTCACAACACAAAACTCTTAGGAGAAATGATCCCTACCTCTCTCGTCAAATTCGTTTCTCTCCCCTTACTCAAATTTCATTTTGTGATACAATTTCTCACCTGATGACAGCGACCTACTTTCCCAATTAGCCCTTGATGAGTAGCAGGTTTGGCAGGTACAATTTGTCTTTATATGGTACGCTCCAGTCCACTAAGTGTGGACTGATTGCGTATCACTCTTCAAAGGATCTATCTGATCAAGGTCCGTTGGAACCCTCAGGCCACCGCTTTTTATGTTCTCACACACAGAACATTGTCTAAGTAGCAAGTGGCACAGGTCAAATTTTTTAGTTAGAACAGTGTTATCCCCCTTAAAAAATATATCCCAGTCAAGGAGTGCTGGTCCAGGATAAATCATGCCTATACGTGTAAAACAAGGTACAGTGGCTGCTCTCACTTGGAGCACCCAAATCTACCCATAAGAAAACGTAGTTTTCACTCTCAATTTAGTGTTACAATTATAAGTGCGTAAGTGGTGTGAAGGAGTTGGGCAGCCTGCCCTTGTTCACTTTGGCTATCTGACATTCGATCCACATCCATCCTCTGTAGGTAAAACTGCCCTCTCTCTAACTCACACCCTGATAGACTGAGTTTTAGTAAAGCTTCTTGATTAGAGTGTCTAGGGCAGGAGAATTTAGGGTCTGTTCTATCATCTGCGACTTGTGGCTTTTTTTGAGGGTGGGGGGAGTATTTCTCAGCATTGTAAGTATCTAGAGTCTTCCCTACTTTCTCTGATAGCCACAGTATCTGAGAACCCCTTATTTCCCCCACGTAAGGTATGGGTTCCTCACCTGGGTCAGTTTTTGGGTCGCTGGCTAGGCTCCGAAAACGGCCCAGAGCTCTGTGTATCTCTGTTGCCTGGGTAACAACTTTGTTTCCCCCGCCCCCTCCCACCCACCACCTCTGGGTTCCCGCTTGACTTTCTGGCCAATCATAGAAGAGTCTTCTTTAAAACAATGCCAAAATCAACCAATCCGAGCGCGTGCCAGTCAGGGTCAACGGCTGCCCTGTTCATTTAGTTAGGTCTACCAGCTAGCCCCGGTCATGGCAGCGTCACTCTAGCGGCTGCTCATCCTCTGTGGTGTCCGGTTCTTTCCGGCCCCAGTATGTCCCAGCCCGCCCCTCTGGCCGCTACCCAATTACTTTGGGACCCTGATAGTGATCAGCAGCCGCGCTAGCCAATAAGGTTAAGTTTGCGGGGTTTTCATTTGTCTTGGTCATCCGCTGGCTCGCTCTTCGTTAAACTTTTTCCACACATAAATTCCAGCTCTGACAACTCCAGAGCAGCGGGAGCGGAAGTGTAGGCTCGGTGGTTCTGGGGTTCGGAGGTTTTGCTGCGGCTCTACTCGCGCTCCCCACGCTCCCCTCTCTGCCCCGTAACAGAGACAGGAGTTGTGGTTCAGTCCCACCTCAGCGTTCGTGTGTGTAGAGTGGGATTGGGCTTTTCCTCGTGGCTGTTGTGGGCAAGCTTTCTGGGTCCAGACCCGCAGTAGGAGCACCCCTTTGGCCGCCGCATGGGTCCTGTTAGGCACCAGCTGGAGCTCTCCGTAGCCCCCACTTCCGGGGTCATTGCGGGACCTGGTGCCCCGTTTTCCCTCCTTAGAGTTGAGGAGATACGCAGTGTGCCGCCGACTTGCCACAGCTTGGCGATCTGAGTATCCTCACTGCGTTTAGAGGTACAGTTGTGACCCTGGGTTCCCATAGACTCCGTGGTTTTGTTTTAAACAAAGAGAAAAAAAGAGATAGCTCAGTACATTTCTGTGTTATTCGGAACTGGTTAGCTGTGTTCGCTGATGGGGCTCTACATTCATTATTTGAGTCTTGTAACAAGGAGAGAGAGAAAGTTTGTAACGGATGGTTACTTTTGGTTATTCAGGGTTTGGAATTCGATAATGAATTAAGTAAACTGCTTTCCTTCTTTCTACTATTATGTTTTTCTAACTCTCACCCCATTTGGCGAAGGGGATAATGAAGCTCGAGTAATTTGTCTATTCTACTTGTTATTACCACGGTAAACAAAGGAAGTAGAATATTTATTTGCTAATGTTAAGTTATTGGCTTTTTGGCCAAATGAACTGTACCATAATACCCCTTATTCCTTCCTCTTTTTTGTTTGGTTTTATTTCCTGCACCTTATTCCTAAAAATGATCAGAATTTAAGTTGTTTTGTTTTTGTTTTTTTGTCATCAAAAGCACATTTTATTCTAATACCCTAATATTACTTTGAAGTATATACAAAGTATTACTTTGAAGTGAGACAGCAGATACTTCAAGCAGGTTTTAATGAAACATTTACATACCTTGGTACTGGGCAAATAATGGCACCATTTGTTCCATGAGTGGAAGTGAATAATTTCAAAGATCTCTCTACCTGACAGAACCCATCTATCCCTTACTGGACCACAAAAGCACACTTTGTCCTCCTCATGCTGAGACAGCCAAACATCATGTCACGGGGCCCTTGATCTCAGCGTCTCTAGCTGGTGTTCACGCATCTTCTACATGAAAATCCTCCTGGGTTGGGATCTTGTCTATTTCTAAAGAACCAAGTCTCAGCCATTGTCTTTAACTTTATTTTGCTGGGTACTTATGGAGCTTACGTTATATATGTTATGCTGTCTCCTTCTTGCTGGCTTATTTTGTATCTATGCTGCCTCAATTTCATTATTCTACATTCATAATGCCTAGCTTGTGTTTTTCAGACCTTTTGGCTGTGACTCACAGTTAAGAAATAAATTTTATATTATGACCCAGTACATAATACAAATGTATAACTGATAACTGTTTTGCAGAATAAAATCTTACTACATGCAATGTACTCTCATACTTTCCATTATATATATTTAAATGTTGATCACAGCTCACTAATAAATCATCATTTACTGTTTGAAAAACACTGGCCTTAGACTATTGGTTTTCAAACTTGTGTGTGTTTACCAATGACTTAAGACATTTTTTACAAATGCAGATTTCCTTGGCTCACTTTAGGAACTGGTTCTATGGGTCTGTGGTGGTTCATATAGCATAATAAAGTGCTTGGTACAGTGCCCAGTGCACAAGTATTCAATAAACAGTAGTTTTCTTCTTGGAGAATAAATGCTTCTTATCTTTAAAGACAACATCACTTCTTCAAGGTTTGGCCTGCCCCTGGCAAGGTAGAATCTAATGCTAAGCACTGTATTCTCCAACGTTGAGGAGGTAGAAGGTAGGGGATGGGTCCTGGATCTGAGATAAATCTTCAAGCATTTGACTTCTTGGAGAATTTCATAAATACAGAAACTTAGGGCTTGAGGAACACAAAGATTAGAGAGGTTAAGATAGAACTAATTGACTGAGTCTAATATTCTTGTCCATTCTTACTAGCAGGTCAGATCTAGGGGCAGTTGAAACAGGAAGAGGGCTTCTTGTCTTGCCTATCCAAGAAGCAGGGGCTAAAGATTTTCTGGCTTTTGACAGCAAGGTTGGTTTTTGAGTAATGAAACTTGAGAGAACTAAAAGATAAAATACACCTAAAAGTTTCTGTGGGCTATAGCTATGAAAAAGGATATAGTTTAGCTAATTATTTTTAACACAGAGATAAACTGTTTTAAAACACTAGTTAAATAATGTATTAAACAAGCATTAAAGAAATTAAAGATGAGCCCGGCCAGTGTGCTCAGTGGTTGGTGTCGACCCATACACCAAGAGGTCGATGGTTGGATTCCCAGTCAGGGCACATGCCCAGGTGTGGGCCCAATCCCTAGTCGGGGGCATGCAGGAGGTGACCAATCGATGTTCTCTCTTATCAGTGTATCTATCTCTCTCTCACTCTCCCTTCCTCTCTCTCTAAAATCAGTAAAAATAAATAAATAAATAAAAAGAAAAAAATTAAAGATGAAAAATTTTCCTCAATTTGGCTACCAAAATATAATTGATATTTCTATTCTCTGATTTAATCTATACATACTCATAGTTTTACACAGTCTTCATTTTTGTTTATACAATTTTGTTTCTTTTATTTGATACAGTTCTGTGAATTTTTCTATGTTGATAGTCATATTTCTTGTTATTAATAACAGCCTAACATTTCATAGAGTGAGACGACCATAATTTACTGAGCCTAACTAAACCAACAACAGAAAATCTATTTCTAGTTATTCCATGTTGTCATTAACTCTTGAAGTCTTAGCTATTTAAAATCATTTATATAACTTTTTACCTTCCATGAAACTCAAGAGGAATCCTAATAGGAAGGCCAGGGATGTGGACATGAGTTGAGAGATTTTGCCCCCCTTGAATATATGGATTTGCCTCTGTAGGTATGCATGTGCTGGAGCAGCAGTGATCAACCATAATATTCATTATATATATGAGACTTAGGTTGAATGTATTTTTTAACTAATAAGCATAAACATTTTCAAAATGATTTCCTTTAAAAATATATGAATCAGCAGATTCAAGTGCCACAATAACACTCATGTTGATTAGCTTTCTTTATGAATATCTTTTCCAAAGACTATATGAGTGTGTATTCCCTTGTAATTTAAAAAATTTTTGGCCCTGGCCAGTTTGGCTTAGCAGTTATAGCGTCGGCCTGCGGTCCAGAGAGAGCCAGGTTCAGTTCCCGCTAAGGGCACGTACCTCAGTTGCAATTTGTCCCCGACCCTGGTTGGGTCGTGCATGTGGGAGGCAGCCACTCAATGTGTCCCTTTCACGTCGATGTTTCTCTCTCTCTCTCTCTGTCTCTTCCTCTCTTTCCCTCCCGCTCTATCTGAACAAAAAATGGAAAAATGTCCTTGGGTGAGGATTTAAAAAAAACATTGATACTCACCTCCTCCCACAACCACATCAAAATTACAATCAAATTACAGAACAACCAACATTAAGAACCACCTGAGATCTGGCTGAATGGAAGTCCTACAACTAGGAAATTAAAGAAGCCTCATCGAGGCTGATAGGAGGGGTGGAGATGCCGAATGGGCTTGTGCAACACCCATGTGTGGTGGATAAAAATTGGATGGGATATCTCTGCTGCAGAGGTCCCCCCTGAGGAATGAGGGGTCCCAGCCCCACAATAGGCCCCCCATCCCAGAGTTCTAGTGCCAGAAAAAGAAGTCCCCGTAACTTCTGGTTGTAAAAGCTACTGTGGATTAAGGCTGAGGGAAATGGAGGGTTTTTGGAGTCCCAGGCCTTCCTCTTAAAGGGTCCATGCACAGACTTACTCGGATTCACTCCCTCTGATTTCCAGTGCCTGGGGCAGCACTTTGAAAGATACTGGAGATATAGAAGGAGGAAATGAATTTTCCAGCATCAGGGTGAGAACTGAGAGCTGGCGGGGGGGGGGGGGGGGGGGGGACAGGCAGATTTTTCCCAGAGAGAAGTTCTGGCAGAGGCCATTGTTCCTTTGATGAGTTCTCCCCCACAGAGCTGGCAGGCTGGTGCCATATCTGAGTTTCCATCAACCTGGCTCATAGTGTTTGCCCCACCCTGGTGATTTCCCAAAGCCCCACTCCACACAACTTTTGGGCCCACTCAAGCTGTTTCCAGTGACTTTTCCATACAAATAGCCTGTCCTGTCTCAGGGTTCAGATTTTTCTAAAAGTCTCAAGCAGTATTTGGGCTCAGTGTGCACCATATCACTCACTAAATGGCTTCACGCCTGACACTAGAAGCAGCCAGCCTTGGTTCACAGCTTGACCTTGCCTGAGCACCTCCAAGCTCAGCACCAGTGGCAACCATATGTAGCTCATGCTGGGTGGCCCTGGGAAGAACACAGGCAGTGGATGATCTTATCCTGCACCTCCTGGGAGGCCCCAGAGTCTGCATCCAGTGGACAGCTTCAAACCATGTCAAAGGATTACCACCTAACCACTTC